TACTGTAGCCTCTCACTTGCTAGGGCCTTGACTTTGTACTGTCCTTTATATGTGTACTCATACTGGACTTGTGTCCTCTCCTAGTGGCTGGACTAGTAGTGCTGCCCTGGACTTGTTCTTGCCTTGTTTGTACTCCTGTTGACTGGTCTTTAGACCCTTGTCTCAGTGGCTGGACTAGTAGTGCCGCCCTGAGCTGCTTGTTCAGGATCTGCCAATATGCAGTCTAGGGGGTGTGTCAAATATTTGTATATCTAATGTTTGTATAGACTGTGTAGGGTCACCTCTTAGAGAGTACAACTCTTAGATATGCAGGCTTGTACTCAGGTTCTCTAGTCATTCATTATTCCAGAGTGCCCCCACTTCAAAAGGGGCTCACTTGAAGCCCCCCTTTGCTATTTTAGCCCGTGGTTTTAAAACGAGGATCTTGAAACCCCCTGAAGTCAAAACCTTCAGGTTTTGAGCCCCAGCCAAAATGCTGTCCGAAGTTTCAAAACCGAAGTTTTTTAGTTCGGGGGTTTCGCGATCCGCGCTTTAAGCAAGACCCAGTTACGTGCAGCCCCGACCGCCAAATTTAGCCAGATAACATAAGATCAGTGACCAAATTACAATGCTATTGCGCATATTGTCCGTGTATGTTGAGAAGAATAGATCAAGCAACCTCCCGACAAATTTTGGGTCTAGAATGGTGTAGCAAAAGCCGTAGCGAAGATATTGTAGCGAGATGGTTTTAAGCCGGATCATGCTGTCTGGACGCGAGAAACACACTGACACGCAGCAGATTGGCAAAGATCGCGGTGACGCTGAACCGCATTTGTGGAACCCAGCTGGGCCTCCCTGATGCTGCTGCGTCTTTCACGCGAATCAGAAGATGACAAATAGCCATCCAGAAGCAGCAGCCAATCTAACGGGTGGGATATGGGTACACCTACCCAGCGGTAAAATTTACCCTCAAACTAGGGGCAGAATAATGTTTGTCTCCACCCTGACCATTTCTGAGTGCGTAGACAGTACCCCCTTGTTCCTACGGCCTAAGCTTGGCAGACTCCACGCGGGCAAAAACTTTGGGCACTGCCTACGCTGAAGTCGGGTTTCCTGACTAGACTTACACAAAATCGAGCCGTAAACATATCGTCTAGAAACCAAGGTTCTGGTTGTTTTTCATATCCGGATCTGGTCTTTTGGAGCTGCTTTCGGGGGATGAATACCCTCTCGGCGGCACCCCCTGTGAGAATACTGGGTCTGAAAATACCGCGCGCTAGGTGTAGCACATGGGGGAAACGGAACAGTATTACTAGAAGTTTGAGCAAAATGACATCAAAATTCCGTGGTGTACCAAACTTTCCCAATATGGTGTTCACTATCCCTGCAAATCAAGGGTGCTAATCAGGGCCCAAAATTGGTTATAGGCCACTCTTTGAGATCAGAGTAGGAAAAAAAAAAACCCCTGACCGTCAGAGCTAAAAAAAATCCAAGTCTGATTTGGCAGGGTAAAAGATTTCGAAGTCTTTGCTTTAAGTGTAAAACTCTTTGCACCTTTTCTAGCCTTGGCCATTTAAGGAACATTTTACATCAATGAAATGGGCAGCACGGAGGTGTGGAAAGAATTGTATTATGTAGCGGATTTGCGCGTGCTGGGGGAGAGTGGGGGATGGGATGGAAAACGATTCTGGGGCGCGATAGGGGAATCAGATTTGCATGGGCGGCAAGGGGCGCGGAAAAAACCACATGCTCGTGATAGGTTGGGTGTCAGAAGGGCGTATACGACATGACATATCTTGCTGTGGTGTGGAGGACTTAGCGAAAAAAAAAAAAAAAAAACAAAAAAAAAAAGCGGTGGTGTGGGTGGGAGGCATGTCTCTTGCGGGGAACTTAGCCATTTCTGGGTTGCGAGGGGGTGAGAGAGTTATGACTACGGCTTCGACTTAGCCGAAATTGCTGGTTTGCATGGTGCGTGGGGTGTGAGGAATGACTCTGGTCGCTAGGGACTTAATCGATTTTTTTGGGTTGTAGGGTGTTATGGGGGAAATGTTTATGCCCGCCAGGGACTTAGTCGGAATCTCGGAGTTTCAATACTAGGGTAGTTTTCAGGACACCCTGAAGGGTCAGGGTTCGGGGCCTCGCAACCCTAGTTTCGGCAGGGTAGTTATTTCGTAACATTTTTTGGATCAGGGCAATAAATTTCGTATGTCTGATTTTTAAGACCAAATGAAAAATGCTCGGAAAAATCAAGGCAATCAGGGCATTTCACCCGGCTAATTTGGGCCCTAGTACTAATACTACTAGAGGGCGGAATTTTTAGAAAGGACACATTTCTGTTCTAGAATGTGGGAAAGTTGGGGAAATCCCAGGGTGCGAGATATGAGTGTGACAGGGGTACGGAATAGCCAATGCAATACACCCTTTCCAAGGAACACTCTATAGCAGAACACTCCAACTTATCGTTACATTCTATAAAATCGTATTCCCCTGCTATAATCAATGGCCTTACTGTCTAGATCATTTGTAAGAGTAGTGGAATATGCATAGAAGAAACGCATGCAAAAAATGCAACAACAAATGCAAGCCTGGAACCCTCATGCAGGACACCCTACGTCGCATAGAATAAAAATACAAACCTACAAAAATATTTGTTGACTTTTATGCTATAAGTCATATGTGACTTGTGCAATGATATTGCATTTTTTTCGCAAGTGCAATTATTCCTTAGATGCAACACCCGTGTACGCAAGACGACTAATGAAAAGAGTTGTAATAGCATGCAAAAAATGCAGCGCTACCAATAGAAATCTCGTAATCCATATCAATACGCTGCAGAGTGGTCGACGACCTTTTGAGGTCGTAGTGTGTTAGAAATGCCAACCAATTTTATCATTGTGAGACACTTATTTACGAAAGGACTCAGAAAGCTCTTCGGAAGCCAATCGATACATGTCGTCTTTAATGACGGAAACAATAGAGGTTTTGCCACACTATCTTCCTCCTTGACGTGCACTGTAATTTTGAAATGATGATGCTTGTTACTGTTGTTTTTAGGTTCTCTTTAATATTTCAAATATAATATAGTTTTAAATATGTCTACTATTGAGAACTTGCTTTGTAAAGGTTTATATGTGCCTTTATTTGCTAGACTCCGCATCAAATTAGGTATGTTTATGAAACTGTGCCTTGCAACGCCTTGCAAAAAGCGTGTGACGATGCGAACGCCCACGTGGACCTTGTCGCAGCTACTGACATCGTCCCAACCTCTGCCAGCTGCGCATACGATAGCGCTCCTTTATTGGAAACGCTACAAGCAAATTTGTCGGGGGCGTCCGTCCTATTCATTTAGTGCCTTGTTCCAAAGTTCTTGGAGTTTGCACCTCGGGAATACGATACGTACAATCCGTTTTGCCAGGGGTTACCAGCACTAGGGATACTCTCTGTTGCGGCTCGGTAATTGACGCGGAGTGTTCCTTAGAGTACATAGGCGGATCTAAACCGGACATCAACTCTGGGCCGTCGATTGGCATGCATCGTCCCTACACATTTAGTCCAGTGAACCGTCTATTCATTAGACGCTACGCGTCCATGTACGAGCCCATTAGTTCGAACACACGGGCATCGGGCCAGCCCACAGAGGCCCACTGATCTCCAACAGTTACCACATCTGATACTGAGACCTCAAAATGTTCAGACGCGACGTTCTGAGGCCTCACACTGTTGCCCAAGGAACGCAAAAGAAACAACAATGGTCATCCGATTTAGACTGGAAAATGCCACTAACCAGCCTACCCTATATTGGCTCAGTTTGCCCGTGAAAACTTTGCACTCAATTTGAGATTACCCGTTTGAAAATGTACAAGGCTTGAAAAGGACTGCATGTGTACATGATGGGTGCTGCCAGGCGTTTTGATGTTTTCTTGTCGCTGCTTTCGCCGCACTGATGTCGCACGCGCGAATCCACGCCCAGCTGAATGCGGTGCTGGATTGCACAAGCTACTGTAGTCACGGACAAACACACCCAACAGAGCAAGGGTGAAGGCCAGGGCTTATGTTTGGTTTTTGAACAGGTCTGACGCTCAGAGCTCCCTTCAAAATTCTCCCTGAAATCTCCGGGATCGAAGATGTACTGCTCTGGTTTTTCGGGGCCAGCCGAGAAAATGCTCGGCGAGCGCATATTTCCACGGATTTTACCTGAGGTTGTTCCAAGCTCTGCGTCACATTGGAGTCGCGTGTGTTCTAGGGGTTTGAGGGGAGTGCTCCTTCCCCCCAAGTAGCCGGGTGGCCAGGTCCTAGAAGAGTGACATGTGTTAGGAGTGTGCGAGATAAGGGGTGAGGGGCGGGAGGGGCGCCGTGGGAGAGAGGGTGCAGGTATGGGAAAGATCAGGGGGAACTGAAAATATTCTTGGAGTTTCCAGGGTCTACTTACGAACTTTCCGGATTTTGTCAGATCTGGATAAAAACCATCCCAGATAAGGTGCTGGAATGGTCTGAATCGACCTTAGAATTTCAGTCCAGTCAGGGAAAATGCTCTGATAACATGAGCCCTGACGAAGGCCCGCCCAAACCAGGGTTTCTAGTTGTTAGTTTACTTGTACTAGGACTGTGCTCTGTAGTCACAGTTAGCGCTACCGGTGGAGGGTTTTGTCTCTGTCAAGGCGTGTCCTAAGAGTACGTACTTACGTCTTTACATAAAAATATCGTACTAGACGAACGCAGCATAGAATGTACCGTCATGTGTGAACACGAGAAACCAAGCAGACCAAGCATACCCTAGGTTCATCCAAGGGAAGAATCTTAAGGCACCCTGCGGTACACAGGTGCGAAATGGGATGAAATAGGGTGGTAGGGTTAAACGGAGCAGGTGGACGGTGGTTGTCGCAGATGGGCTGCTGCTGATGGGGAGATTCTCCTTGCATCTGTCACCGCACGGTGAGGGAAAGGCAAGGCACTCGTGTTGGCGACAAGCATACGGGCAGGGAGTCAGATAGGGGGAGAGGGAAGGGCACTGGGCTGGTGGTGTGTCAGCAGCGGCACACAGGCGGGGAAGGAAAGGCAGTAGCAGTGGATTGCCTGATGCGAGGCCTATCCCTGGTTCAATCAAAGTTCCACAAAGCAAGCAAGGCCAAGTTGGAGCTCTTGCCAATCAAGTACCAGTAGGTCGTAGTTGAGTACAGCCTTCTCGCTTTTGTCGTAAAAACCTCACCTCAGGCGACGCGAACGTCTGTGTCAGAGCCGAGCAGGACGCGGTTAGTCACCACGAGATATATGTAAACGTCAGGTGCAGCCTTTGCCACAGGCGGAGCTCATAGGGTGCATTAGGGTTTCTGAGCTGCTTCGTGTACAGGACAGAATTTACAAGGAGCGATGCCACAGATTCAGTGCCTGATGTAGATTCCAAGATAATAAAATAGGTTCCGCCGTTTGAGCCCTGCTTCCCGATCGGAGTGCTGCTGATGACGAGCCTCTACGAATCCCTCGCGTGATTTCCCCTTCTCCGACGCCTGAGCCCACGCGAGCATTGTCTGCCATTCTTTCTAGGCTAGACCCTAACAACTAACTCGTTTACCTGGTCGCTGCGTACACAGCGGAATCCATTCGCGGCCCGCGTCTAGTCGCGAGTAACTACGTTCTGTCTGCTTAGCCTCTCCGTAACCCTAGCTCACGAACGCTACCCATCGTCTCTAACAGAAACTACCCTGCATTTTCAGGGTAGTCGTTCCTAGTAGTACTAACCCTCGAGATTCGCCGTTTCTCGCGTTTTTCGCCTACTACGATCGGCTCCCCTTCTCTTCTCGCCACCCGTCACGTTCGGCGTGCCTTTGAGTCGACTCAAACGCCTTCTCTCCGAGAAAGCCATGGGGAAGCGCCTCGCGGTGCCGTGGTGGATGCCGGCTTTAATCGCGTGGACGCTCTGCTGGCTGGCTCTATCCACGTTCGTCGTCTGGTCCACGCACAAGGCGGCGCTCGACCCGCTCATGGCGGATCTTAAAGCGTGGTGCGGCGCGCGCGTTCGGTACCTTGACCAGGAGATCGCGTCGAACCTGAACCACGCCGAGGTGCGTGCGTGTGTCTGACCTAAGTCGCGTCTTACGTTTGGTCGGCTCGTCTTAGGTGTGTCTGACGTAACGCGCGTCTTTGTTTTAGTGGGCTCGTCTTAGGTGCATCTGACGTAAATTTCGTCCTAGATTTGATGGATTCGTCTTTTCTGTGTCTGACCTAACCTAACTCCCGGCGAGCGTGTTCGAGGTCCCGTGAGCCATTTCGTGAGCCGCGTTACATCAAGGCATTCTCGTCCCTCGCTTCTTTCCTCGTGCCTCTTGTTTTCTCCCTCTCCGTTGGGACGACGGATCCCCCCCGTCCCTGTCTCCGTGTCTCTGAGTGATTTCCCCTGGCTTACCTGTAAGCATTCTCCCTTCCTCACGCGCATTCCCCACATTCCCCGCATTTCCGCGTTCCCCGCATTTCCGCGTTCCCCGCATTCTCGCGTCTCCCACGTTTCCCACTCGACTTCTCCTGGGGTGATCGTGGGCCTCCTCAAGGTGTCCAACGGCTTCGGTTCGGACCCAAGGTGACTTTCAGTCGACTCCAAAACCCCAAGAGCCCGACCTGGCGTACTGGGGGTACACGGGGTGCCTCAACAACCGCTCTCCGCCTTCCCCTGACTGTTCCTCTTCCTCCCACGCTTATCCCCCCACCCCCCCCCCCCGCCCCCACTCCCCTTTCCCTTCAGGTGAACATGGGGCTGATAAAGGTGTTCAACGGCTTTGGCCCCAAGAGCCCCGACCTGGCGTACTGGGGGTACACGGGGTGCCTCAACAACCGGTCGTGGGTCCAATACGCCGAGGCCACTCAGTACGCCAAGCCCTGGATGACCAACGCGTGGTTGGCCTTTGTCGACGGCAACGACAGGTAGGGTTGCGACGACAGGGGGGCGTCGGGACAGGACAGGTAGGCTTCTAGGCTCATGTTTCGTTTCTGCGGGTACACGGGGTGCCTCAACTGAACGACCGATTGTGGGTCGAAACGCCGAGGCCACTCAGTACGCCAAGCCCTGGATGACCAACGCGTGGCTGGCGTTTGTCGACGGGCAGGACAGGTCGGGTTGCTGGGAAGATACTCAAGCGCAGCGCACTTCCTGTCTCCCCCCCCCCCTTCCCAGGCCCATGGTAGAGCGGTCGCTGGGGTGCCAGTTCCAGAGCCTCAGGAGTGACCTCTTCTCCTCTGCCCCCCCTTCCCTCCCCCTGCCCCCCTGCCCCTCCCGCCCTCGTTTTCTTTCCCCCAGGCCCATGGTAGAGCGGTCGCTGGGGTGCCAGTTCCAGAGCCTCAACAGCCTGGAGCCGAAGGTCAGCTCGAGGAAGGACTGCTACGTGGTGAACCTGTTCCAGTACTCGCCCTTCTTCAACTGGCCGCAGTGCACGGACTACAGCGACCGCTTTGGCGAGGGGTGCGGCAACCTCAACACCAAGTGGAAGAGCCGCGGTAGCCCGCCCTACCGCTTCAGGAATGGAGATATTGGATTCAGTGCGTTGGGGGATTTGATCTGATTTGGCTTGGGACTGGGCCTGTGGGAAGTGGATTGGAGGGAAGGGGTGAGGCGAGGAGTGAGTGGGTGACGGGAGAGAAGGGTGGGCTTCTGGTTGAGTGAGTCGACTTGTGCTCTTGGGTTTTGGGACGACTCGTTGCGGGGACAAACTGTTTCATTTGTCTGTGTGCGTGCATGTATGTGTGCATGTGCATGTGCATGTGTATGTGCATGTGCATGTGGATGTGCATGTGGATGTGCATGTGTATGTGCATGTGCATGTGCATGTGCATGTGTATGTGTATGTGCATGTGCATGTGCATGTGTATGTGCACGTGCATGTGCATGTGCATGTGTATGTGCATGTGTATGTGCATGTGTATGTGCATGTGCATGTGTATGTGCATGTGCATGTGTATGTGCATGTGCATGTGTATGCGCATGTCTACAGGTTTTGGCATTCCTGTGTTGCGCCATCCAATCGACGACAATGCCACGTCGGCAGAGGTGCTGGCGGCGCTGGCGGGTTTCCTTGCGCCCGGTTTAGATGCGGAGGCGCTTATCAAGCACACACTCTTCTCTGTACTCGATACAGGTAGCTATGGTGCACTCGATATAGGAACGCTGTGGTGTACTCGATACAGGTATGCTGTGGTATACTCTATACACCATGTATGACGTCACCAACACCGTTTAAAGCGTTGATGTCTTCTCCCTGCTCCTTGGCCCCCCTCGCCTCGCCCCAATCCTTCCTCTTCCTCCCCGTCCTTCCCCCCTCTCCCCTCCCCCCCGTGCAGGCAACTCCACGGCCCTCTCGTTCACCATGTATGACGTCACCAACGCGTCCAACCCCCTCATGGTGTTCGGCGACACCCAGCCGTCCACCGGGCCCAACCCCATCTACCCCATGGTGCTCCCCGCGCCCATGCCCCCGGGGGACAAGGTCGTGGAGCCCTTCCCCGACGACTTCATAGGCAGAAGATACGAGGGGCACTGCCGGTACCGCCACCCGCCGCCCGTCTGGAGCACGCTGCTCGCGCCGATACTTCTTGGGCTGCTGGTGCTGCTGGTGGCGGCGCTGTTGACGTTTATCATAGGATCCCTGGCGAGGAAGAAGGCGAGGATCCGGCAGCAGATGGAGGAGCTAGAGGAGTATACGCTGGCGTTAGAGCAGGCTGAGAGGTCCAAGAGCGAGTTTGTGGCGAACCTGTCGCACGAGCTGAGGACGCCTATAACGGGGATGCTGGGCATGATGGACTGGCTGCTGGAGTCGAGCATGTCGGAGTGGCAGCATCGGGATCTGCTGGACGCCAAGACATGCGCCGTGGAGGCGATTGGGCTGCTGAATAGCGTGCTGGACCTGGCTAAGCTGCAGGTGGGTGGTGGATGGTGGGTGGTGGGTGGTGGTGGGTGGTGGGGATTGGTTGCACGGCAGGTGGCAGCAGGTGAGAGCTGGACACGATGGGGTAGGTGGGTTGGGGTGCCCTTGCAGTCGAGCCGGGTGGGAGTGGCGCTGGCAGCGATGCGATCTGCTGGACGCCAAGACGTGTGCCGTGGAGGCAATTGGCAATCGACAATTGGCAATCAACAATTGGCACTTGGGCAGTTGGCTTGCTTTACAGCGTGCTGGACCTGGACCCAGGCGAAGAGGCTCTCCTCTCCCATTCAGCCCGCACCAGTGTGCTGATTCGGCAGAACCCACCCCCCCTCCACCCTCCGGCCATCCGTCCCTCCCATTTCCCCATTTCCTCCCCCCCTGAACCCTACGCTTGCACCCCACCCACCCTTGTGTTCCCTTCCCCAGGCCAATCGGTTGGTGCTGGAGGCGCTCCCCTTCAGCCTGCACCAGTGCGTTGACCTGGCTGTTCGCACTCTCATGCCCGACGCCCACAAGAAGAACCTGCAGTGTGAGTCACTGGGCAAAGGGCACAGGGCACGTCGCATGTTGCCCATTGGACTCATGGCCAACGGGATAATGCACATGGCACACGGCACATGGCACATGGCACACAGCGCATGGCACATGGCACACGGCACATGGCACATGGCACATGGCACACGGCACATGGCACACGGCACACGGCACATGGCACATGGCACATGGCACACGGCACATGGCTCATGGCACAGGGCTTAGTGCAGTGTGGCGTTCGATTGGCGTTCGCTCAAGTCAAGTCATGCCCGTATGGCCGATTGCACCCCCTCCTCTCTGCCTCCCGACCCCCCCCCTTTCCCTTTCTGATTGGCAACCCCACGTGCGCGAGTGGCTCAAGTCATGCCCGTATGGCCGATTGCACCCCCTCCTCTCTGCCCCTCGCCTCCCCCCACCCCCCCCCCCCCCCTCCCCCGTTCTTGTGCAGTCATCTGCAGGATTCACGCGAGTGTGCCGGACGTTCTCATCGGCGACCCCACACGCGTGGCCCAAGTGATGCGGGAGCTCATCTGTGAGTTCCGTTCCTTCCGGATGATCCTCAGTGCTACCTCATCGCACCTCACACCACCTCACTTGCACCATTCTACAGCACCTCACACCAACCCAAGCGAGTTTCTCAAGTCGTGCGAGCCCTCATCAGTGAGTGCTCTTCCTTCCCACCCCTCACCCTCCCTTGCTATCCCTCACCCTCCCTTGCCATCCCTCACCTTCCACTGAGAGCTCATATTGGTGAGTGCCCTTCATCTCGTTATGACTTTTGATTCGACTCAAAAGTCACCATTCCTTGCCATCCCTCACCTTCCACTGGGAGCTCGTCAGTGAGTGCGTCCATATTTGCCATGCTGATGGCTCTTTCAGGGTGTTTTTTAGAATTCTCAGAAACACCCTCTTGCCATGCTGATAGCTCTTTATCTAACTTCCCCCGTCAATGCCTCTTTTTCTCTGCATATTTCAATGCTCCCACCCCCCAATCCCTCCCCTCCTCTTCCCTCCCCCCCCCCGCTCCCCCTCCTTCCCCCCCTCCAGGCCACACCATTCGCAACACAGTCTCAGGGCGAGTTATCCTTCACCTCTGGTGTGCGCCTGTTGCTGTTCCCAGTGTTGACACCTTCAGACCGGAATTTCTCCTCCTCCCCCCCCCCCCCTTCCCCTCCCATCCAGGCCACGCCATTCGCAACACAGTCCGAGAGGGTTATCCTGCACGTTTGGTGTGCACCTGCTGGTGTGTGGTCTTGAGCCTTCCCCCCCTTCTTCCCTTCCCTCCTCTCCCCCCCCCCCTCCACCCCCCCCCTTTCGCTCCAGGCCACGCCATTCGCAACACAGTCTCAGGGCGGATCATTCTGCACCTCTGGTGCATGCCGGCTCCCGTGCCTATCCAAGCAGTAGCTGAGGCCGCCGAACCTGACCTGGAGGCTTGGATCCGAGGCTTGCAGGCTGGGAAAGAGGGCGGGGAGAAGGAGTGGGACGTGTACGGTGGCAAGGGAATGGCCTCTGATGCTAGAGGAGTGCCTTCTGCTGCTATCGATGATGCTTATGGAGGGGATAAAGGGCAAAAGGAGGTGCTGCTGGCACGAATTAATGGGGGTGGCAGTGCTGACTGCTGTAGAGGTAGTGGTGGTGCTGGTGCTGCTGATGCCGGAGGTGGTGATGGTGGTATGGATGGTGCTTGTGGTGTTGGCTGTTTTGGGCTGAGGCAGGGCAGTGGGCGGGAGATGGGCGGCAGTGGGCGGGAGGTAGGCGGCAGGGAGAGAAGATCGGAGGACTCCTGTGAAGCGAGCTTCAGATACAGCCTCTCCCAGGTAATCACAGGCCTGGGCATCCATGCAGCCTCTCCTAGGTGCTGTATTAGACTCCCCACCCAACCCCCCTCCTCGACTTCGCCTCCTCCCCTACCCCCCATCCCTCGCAACCACTAGTGTTGATCGAAACGGTCTCACCCGCACACACAGCTGTACACACAGCTGCCCGCACAAACAGCTGCCCACACAGCTGCCTGCACTCGGCCCTTGTTTCGCCCGTCAGCTCTCCCAGTCAGCCCAAACGCCCCTTGTTTCTCTCTGCCCCTGTGTCTCTCGCTGTGCCTCCCACAGGATGATCCACGCCTCTCTGACCCGCCGGTAACAGGATTCATGCGCTCCTGCAGCCAATCACTCGGCAGTCAACCCAGTCAACCCAGTCAATCCATTGGGAACTCCAGTCATCCCAATCAGTCCACACACGGCATGGAAGCCCCCCCGCCCACGGCTCACCACGACCTTGGGCATGGGACCGAGCATGGTGCACTCCCCGAGCCTGAGCCCTGGATGCTCCACCCGCCCATCCCTCACCTCCTCACCGCCGAGGCTTGCCGCGAGGTTCGGCGGTCCGCGGCTCGGTTCCGCCAAGCCATGGTGTTTGCCTCGGCAGCTGCTGGGGAGGATGGGGAGGAGGAAGGGGGAGGTGGGGGAATGGGGGGGGGGAGGAGGAGGGGGGGGAGGAGGAGGAGGAGGGTGGAGAGGGTGCAGTTGGTGATGGCGTGTGAGGACACGGGGTGTGGGATTCCATGGGAGGAGATGCGGTGGGTACTGGACCCAGAAGGCCACGGGGAATTCGTTCAAGAGGAGGAGGTATGAAGGAGAGGGTGTTATCATTTTTGCTTGTCGTACGCCTTTCTTTTCATACGCCTTGTCGTACTTGTAGTCATGCTCTTTTTGCTCCCCTCTCCCCCTCCCAGGAATGCGTAAATTCGGGCTACAGAGGACACCGCTACCAACACTGCTAATGCCGTTGCCATCTTATTCCTTCACCCCTTTTCTGCCCCCCCCGCCCCTCCCCTCTCCCCCTCCCAGATGAATGCATACATTCGGGCTACAGACGGCACCGCTACCACCAGCACTACCACCAGCACCACTCCTTCTGCGGGGCGAGCACGGAGCAGCGCCCTCTCCCGCCTGCGCTCGCTCGCCCAGAGGGTTGTGAAGGGCCTGGCTGGAGGCGGGGGTGGGTCGTCTGAGGATGGCCTGTATGCTCGCGTGGGGAAGGGGTTTCAGGACGCCTGGACGCCCTATCCCGTGCGCTTCCTCCTTTCTGCAAGCCTGGTGAGCGAGGGTCGGTTGAGGGTCGGTTGAGGGTCGGTTGAAGGGTCGGTTGAGGGTCGGTTGAGGGTCGGTTGAAGGGTCGGTTGAGGGTCGGTTGAGGGTCGGTTGAAGGGTCGGTTGAGGGTCCGTTGAGGGTCGGTTGAGGGTCGGTTGAGGGTCGGTTGAGGGTCAGTTGAGGGTCGCTTGAGGGTCGCTTGAGGGTCGGTTGAGGGTCAGTTGAGGGTCAGTTGAGGGTCGGTTGAGGGTCGGTTGAGGGTCGGTTGAGGGTCGGTTGAGTGTCGGTTGAGGGTACATCGAGGGAGTGACTGGAGGGGGGGGGGGTGTCTGTGAGAGTGATCTGTATGCATACAGATCGAGGGGGTGGGGAAGGGGTTTCAAGACGCCTGGTCGCCCTACCCTGTGCGCCTCCCGCTGTCTGCTAGCCTGGTGAGCCGCCTCATGCGAGGCGTGGCGTGGGTGCATCGGAGTTGCCTCTCTCTTCGCTTTCATAAGTCTCTTCACTCTCATAATTCTCTTTGCTCTCATAAGTCTATTCGCTGTCATAAGTCTCTTCACTGTCATAAGTCTCTTCGCTTTCATAAGTCTCTTCGCTGTCATAAGTCTCTTTGCTGTCATAAGTCTCTTCGCTTTCATAAGTCACTTCGTCTCTTCCCCCTCCCCCCCCCCTCCTCGCATTTCTCCCTCCCTTCCTGCAGTTGAGACTGATGCGTGGGTGCATGGGAGTGGCCACTCAGGAGCACTTTCATATGTCACTTTCCTTTCATAAGTCTCTTCGTCCCCCCCCTCCCCCACCCTTTCCACCTTTCTCCTCCTCTTCCTTCACTTCAGGTGAGTCTGATGCGTGGGTGCATGGGAGTGGCCACTCAGGAGCAGCTCGGCTCCACCATCATGGTCTCCCTGCCAATGAAGATGCGCCACGTGGCACATCCAACATCCGCTGGAGAGGAGCAGGAGGAGGAAGAGGAGGGAGAGGAGGATGGGGCGGGGGAAGACGAGCAGGGAGAGGAGGGAGAGGAAAGCGAGGGGAGTGAAGGGGGCGAGGGCATGGAGGAGGCGTTGGCATGGGTGGAGATGCGGTGGAGCACCAGTGAGGCGGTGGAGGGCAGGCGGGCGCTGGTGGTGGATGGGGACGACGCACGCGCAGAGGTGAGTGCTTTCAGTTATAAGTGTTGATGAAATGCAAGAGGAGAGGGGTGGTGGTGATAGGGCCGGGTAATGGGCTTGCTTGATTGCCCAACACTCTCGAGCCGTCTCAAAAACTTTCTCTCTTCCCGATCCTACCCCCCTCTCCTCCTCCATTCCCTTCTCGCTCCGCCACACAGACTACATCCATTGCCCTCCGGTACTTTGGCATGCATGCTCATCCCACCCTCTCTATCCTTCTTCCCCCCCCTCTCTCCCACCCTCTCTATCCCTCTCTCCCCCCCTCTCTCCCCCCACACAGGCCACATCCATAGCCCTCCGGTACTTTGGCATGCATGTTACCATAGTGGGCACTCAGAAGGAAGCTGCTCGGAAGATTCTGGGGAGGCAGTCGGAATCCGCGTGGCGGTTTGCTGAGAAGCGGATGAGTGAGGCGAGGAGGAGGGCGAGGAGGGCCAAGGGGAAGGAGGGGGGGGTGAAATTAGGGGAAGGGGAGCACTCAGGGGAGGGGGATAAACCAGAGGAGAGGCCAAAGGAAGGCCGCAATGCGGCGGATGAGGAAGGGGAGGGGAAGAGGGAGGAAGAGGGAGGGGAGAGTTGCGAGATGGGAGAGGAGGGTGCATGGGAGGAGGAACAGGAGGGTCCATGGGGCGTGGTGCTGGTGGAAGCTGATGCGTTTGGCAAGAGTGGGAGTGTGGGGGCTAACTCAAAGTCCGAAATTAGTGGTGGTGAAGAGGGTGCTCAGGGCGCTCAGGCCAGTCAGGGCGGTCAGATCAAGCCTGGGCCAGTGAACGGCTCTGATGCACCCCAGAGCAAGTCAGGGATCGGTTTCGGCCGTCGGATCAAGTTTGATCACCGCAGCCTCGTTCTCTTCCACTCTTCGGCTGTGCGCGCTCCCAACTCCCCTCCCCGCACTCCTTTTCCCTCTTATGGTGCTTCAACTCATGCGGCTCCCAACTCCCCTCCCCCCACTCCCTCACACGCCCATGAAGCGCCACCAGCACCAGCAGCAACACCAGCAGCAGCAACACCAGCACCAGCAGCACCGCCACCAGTGCCGTGCAGCCTTCCTCCCCTCGTGCTGACGGGCCAGGGCTCTATGAGCGTCAACCACGCAAGGGTGCTCGCAGCAGGGTTTGCCGACACTCTCCCCCAACCATGGCTCGTGGCTGATCTTGCGCCGTGCCTTCATGCTGTGAGTGCCTTCATGCTGTGAGTGCCTTCATGCTGTGAGTGCCTTCATGCTGTGAGTGCCTTCATGCTGTGAGTGCCTTCATGCTGTGAGTGCCTTCATGCTGTGAGAGTGTGTGTGTGTGTGTGTGTGTGTGTGTGTGTGTGTGTGTGTGTGTGTGTGTGTGTGTGTGTATATCGTCCTAAGAACATGGAATTCTGTTCCTGCATGGATCAAAGCGTGGCTGGCTGGCCCACGCTTTGACTGCCGTCCCTCCGTCCGTCTTCTCACTCATTGCCCAATCGCCATTTCCGTCCTTTCCCCTCTCTCCTTCCCATTCTCTCTAACCACGCCTTCCCCCCCCCCCCCCCCTTCCCCCCCTCCCCTGTTCATTCCCCTCTCCTCCTGCCCCCCTTTGTAGATTTTCGCTCCCCTCGACCAATACGACGACCTTTCAGATTCCTCCACCAATCACATCGCGCCAGCCGTCCCCTCCTCCTCCTCCTCCCTCGCCCCCTCCACGCCTCCCCGCCCCAAATCCCCGCAATACCGCTCCAAAGCCGCGCTCGCGCTCTCAAAGCCCGAGGACGCCGCCGCTTTGCTAAAAGAGATGCTTAGCGGGAAGGAAGTTCTAGTGGTGGATGACAACGCGGTGAACCGCATGGTGGCAAGGAAAACGCTGCAGGGCTTAGGGGCGAAGGTGGAGCTGGTAGAAAGCGGGGAGAAGGCTCTGGAGAGACTAAACAGTGCAAATACGTTCTTCATGCTGCTGATTGATCTGCACATGCCCCCTGGGATTGACGGGTAAGCGAGCCTTGACCATCTTCCCCCTCCCCCCTCCCCCCCCCCCCCCCCGCGTCTCCCCCCTCCCCCCTTCCCCCTTCCCCTTTCCCTTATGTTCCTGTGCCTTGCACACTCGCTGCACGCACACGCTCATGTGCTCGCTTCCTCTCACATAGCACTCAGGGTTCCGCCCTGCCCTTTTTTCCCCCTACTCGAGTCTCTCTTTTTCGCACCCGTGCCTCATACATGCACACACACAGTCTCTATTGTTTTCTCGCACCACACACAGGCCCGGGTGCTTGCTTCATCTCTCAGCACCCTCTCTCTCGTTCCCTCCCCACTCCCCTCTCCTCTCGTTCCCTCCTCACTCCCCTCTCCTCTCGTTCCCTCCCCACTCCCTTCTCGCACCACCTGTTACAGCTATGAGACTGCTCGCCGCATTCGAGCCAAGTTTCCTGCTGCCACTGCTGCACCCACCACCAGCACCGCCACCTCCTCCTCCTCCTCTGCCTCCATCCCCAAGCTCGAATCGCAGCCATCCTTTTCGGTTGCCGCTGCTGCCGCCGCCACTGCACCCGCCACCGCCAGCACCGCCAGCACCGCCAGCACCGCCACCATCGGCTGCACCGCTTCCTCGTCTTTCTCCTCTTCTTCCATCCCCATGCTCGAATCACAGCCATCCTTTGCCGCTGCTGCCGCTGCCACTGCCACTGCTACTGCACCTGCCACTGGCACTGCCACCACCACCATCACCAGCATCCCCAAGCTCGAATCACAGCCGTCCTTTGCCTTCCACCCAGGCTGTCTAACCCCACTGGACCTGGACGCACCGGGAGAAATTGAACCAACTCTTGCCACAGCCGCAACAGCAGCAGCAGCAGCATCAGCAGGCCCTTTCCACAGGCAGGTGATATTCGCTCTGACAGCAGACGTGGATGCGAGTGTGAGGCATTCGGCCAAGGAGGCGGGTATGGATGGCACTCTGTCCAAGCCCATCGTGCACCCCGAGCTGCTGAGCGCCCTCAAGGCTGCTGGGGTCACCTTGCACTAGGACTCATGCACCTAGTCTAAGGTGCCTCACAAGGAGGTGGGTATGGACGGCATGGCATTGTCTCCAAGCCCATCGTGCACCAGGAGTTGCTCAGGGCTGTTAAAGCGGCTGGCGTGAGCCTGATGTGAAAGACGCGGTCACCTCATGGGGCTCACGAGGAGGCAGGCGGCCAAGGAGGGGGAGGGGCTCTGGATGGCACCGTGGCACTCTCTCCAAGCCCATCGTGCACCAGGAGCTTCTGAGCGCCCTCAAGGCTGCCGTGGTCACCCTGCTGTGAAGGACACATTCAGGCAGTCACTTCAAGGGTCTATGGATGGCATGCTCTCAAAACCCATCGTGCACCAGTAGCTGCTGAGTGTTATCAAAACTGCTGGCGTAAGCTTGCTGTACAAGGTGTGGGCGCTTACACATGTCTCAGGAGGAGGCGGGCGTGCAAGGAATGCAGGTATGGATGGATGGCACGCTGTCCACCAAACCCATCGTGCACCAGGAGCTGCTGTTTGGCATCAAAGCTGGCAGTGCCATCTTGCACAGTAAATGAAATCGGTAGTGTATGTATGCAATGAATGCACTTGACACTTGCTACAAGAAGCTGCTGTGTTGTATCTAAGCAGCTGAAGGGGAAGATCAAATACATTCTAAGTAATTATAGAGAGTGCAATTATCCAGCCGTTTCATTATACGCTCTTTTCAAAAGAGGCTACGACAGTAGCAGAAACGCATGCAAACAGCACAGCAGCGCCAGTATCCCACCAAGCTGGCCATGCCATCCAAGTCTGCAAGATTTGCAAGGGAGGAGAGCCCACGTGTCAAGGACAGAACAAGTATTGAACGGCGTTCAGGTGTAGTGCGCGTGGGCACTGGGTACAGGGTAGCGTTAGTCCCTCATCCAACAAAACATTTGTTTTACACCTGAAACCGCTCCATAATTGGCTTCAAACTACACTAACGTCGAATATTAATGGCATCCTATTTACTTGAAATTGTGCATACCAGCATTGTTCCGACTCTAGAAAGTCATTCTGGATTTCAGTCAGACAGCCCGAATTCCTTTGGCATGTCCGCGTGCTCGAATTGAATGCGAACCTAGCGTGCGTGGGTGGGGTTGGTTGGACGCTCACATTCGCGCCGAGCCGAGCGAGACCCCGAATCCACCTCACGCCGCATGTTTGACGTGGATTCTGTTGGCTCCATGTGATGTCACCACTGTACCAGACGCTAGGAGCTCCCTAGGTTTCACGGTCAGCAGAATAAAAACATGGAGATGAGAGTTTACTGTACTCTCCTGCAGAAATATATGTCATAACTTCTTTAATTTCATCGAGCTTTAGCACTTTTCGGCTCAGACTGTCAAACAGGTGCATCTTGTGCATGGCCCCGATAACGCATGGAGGTCGAACATGATAGCAATTCACGTGAATCACCATGTCACTTTGGCCCATGTAAGGCAGTTGAGGGCAGCTCCCACAATGCCAGCTCAGTCCTTTGCGCGCATGGGTGCCAGCACAGCTGCGCTGAACGGACGACACTTCGCGCCAAATCTGACTCGTCCTTGTTCGGATCTGACAAGAGCAGAGAAGAGCACAAACAGGCGAAATTGCGCTCTTCGCTAAAAACTTTACCTGTTTTAAACCCGTCAACCCTTATCGCCCAGCGATTGCATGCGTGGCTATTTAGGCCAATTCGGTCAACCTCGCGCTATTGTTCCCTCAAAATGCTGCACCGAAGTGCATTATAGATCATATGCGATTGGTGCAACGACGACTAGCGCAAAATTCTCACAGGTGCATTTTTTTCCGTAGGTGCAAAACCCAAGTACGCACCCGTCCAATGAAAATAGTCGCAGCCAACATGTGAAAAAATCGTTACCACCATTAGAAATCGCATATTCCACGTCAATGCGCTCCTGAGTGGTCGACGACCAGTTGCGTATGCAATGTGTTACAAAACTAAACAAATTTCACTGTTGCAATCTACCTATTTACTGGTTGACGCGGAAAGACCACGTGCGCCAATCGAATTTTGTGGACCTTGTCGTGGACCTTGTTGCAGCTAATGACAGTATTCCCGTCCCTGCCAACTACGGATACAACAAAGTCTCCACACCTACTAGCTGCGCATACGACAGCGATCCTACTTGCTTAGGAACGCTACAAGCAAATTTGTCTTGGGCGTACTGCACTATGCGATAAGTGTCCCATTTCAATATTATTGGACTTTGCATTACAAGAATACAACATGTATACACAGACTAGTTTTGGGATGACCGTTGTTGCTTAAAAAATGTTCAATTTTGATGGCATCTATTGCTCAGGTTCCTACACCGACGCAGCAGGCTTAGTGTGGACCCCACTGACGCAATATGCAGGCCACTTGTCCTAAATACACTTGGCTTGCGTTATTTTTAGCGCTGATATTTTCAATGTTATCTTTGCAATTGGCTTTCATGATTGCTAAATCACTCCTAAAAAAAACAAGGACGACCGATGTTTACAATATGGCATCCCGTATTTTGGTATTGCTGTCGAGTAGGTAACGTATTCAAGCCGTCTATTGGTTTGTGCCTTTGTGGGGTGTTAGTAGGGGCGTGATGTTTTGGGAGGTCGCTAAATTCAATAGTTAAAAAAAGAGAACAAAGCAACCTTATCGGGCCTTCTGGTGACGTCCTGGGACTTTACAAATTCTAATACCACGAAAACCCCCTTATGAACACGGACATGCCCTCTGCTGACCCAAATGTTCAAAACAACCGCCCAAGTTCAGCCTTTAATATTACCACGAGCCATTTGTACAAAACCATTCCAACACTGTACACTCAGAAGGGCGGCGCACAGTGATCCGTTGAAAATGTCCGGGCTGAAACGAGATTTGCCGTTCATCAAATTCCGAAATCAATAGTTTTGAGGGAACAGAAGCGCGAGGTTGACCGAATTGGCCCAAACTGTTACGTGTTCAATCGCCTGGCGATTAGGGTCGACAGTTTTGAACCAGGTAGAATTATCAATGAAGCGCGCAATTTCACCGCACAAACACCACACACAACTGCCCATCACACCACCACACCCAGGACGCGCAACGAGAAGGGTAGGACCATCTGTTCTTGCTGGGCAGGGGGCAGGGGAGGGGAGGGGGGAATCCATATACCGTATCCGTTCCATCTGTTCATTCCTCTCCTACCTTCCCCCGAACAGAGTCTCCCCTCCCCTCCCCTCCCCTCCCCTCTCCTCCCCTCTCCCTTCCTACCTCCCCCTTCAGCCGCGGGCCCCCACAACCGACCGAGTTTTCGCCTCCGTCTCAATCCAACCACCCTTGTATCCAAGATCGTGCTACCAGATATGCTGGATTAGCTTCGATAAGATTCAGTTTTCTCCGTGGCTGTTCAGTGTTCAACCGTCCCCCTATTGTTCACGCGTCCAGCCATCCCTACTAGCTCCTTCAAACAATGGCTCCTTGTACGCCTTTCCCCACGCTCTTGGACGACACTATAACCAGTGGTAGAGTTCCTGCGCGCGATAAAGAATCGCGGGAAATGCGTCATAGCTTGGAACGAAATGGTCATGTCGCCGGCGCCGGCGCCGGCGCTGCCACGGCAGAGCTCGATTGCTGCCGGGGAGCAGAGTGTATGCGAACGGGCTCATCCTTGGCGATTTCAGGAGCGGAGGAGCAAGCATCTCCTGCGAGGCTGGCTTGCTGGGAGGCGCAGAAGGCGTGCAGTCCTGTCTGGATCGACGAGGCGCGCTCGAGAATACGGCAAGCGGCATTGGCGGTGCTGGAGGCGCAGCAGCAATCTCAACACCTTGGTTCGATGGTGGATGACAAAATGCTTCTAGACGAGCCGCGCTGTACGGAGCATCTGACTGTCTTTGACGAATGGAGCCGCTTAGAGAATGTCGACCAAATGCTTGAGTTGAATGAAGAGGAGGCAACAGATGATGACGACTCGCTCACATCTGAGCCTCAATTAGGCCAAGGTAGAGTTTTTAGGCCAACTGATTCTTTCCGGGGAGCAATTGTGAATTTTGTGAGGAGTTCGCTTCATCTAATAATGTAGTTGTGTCTCCGACAAGTCCATGTAGTCTATAAGATGTATACTTAATGGGACTACCATACCTGGAAAATGTATATTACATTTTGTAGATTGGCGCATGCCTGTTCAGAAATAGCAAGCCCATTTGGTAATGAAGAGCTGTACAACCGTTCTATTCATTATTGATGAGACGGAACTTCCTAGTGCATTTGAACTGTCGATCTGCATGCCCCCAACGGGCCTGTCCGAGATAATACAAAAAAGCTAGATACATTTTCGCAGATACCCTACCCAACCGTTTTAAAACGAGAGACTACAATAACTTTGAACCGCGCCAGGTGTTTTCGGACTCAGCTGGTTGGTTTTGTCCTCGGCAGGTTCAAGGTACTTTGAACTTTGAAGTTATTGTAGTCGCGCGCTTTGAGTCAATATCCTAACGCTCTAAAACGCAGAACAAGTTACTGCACCATAATCAAACGTACTGCTCCGACTTCTTGCTTGTCTCTTTCGGGGCAGAACCCTTCGCCAGTTTTGTGGGATAGGGGCTGAAACTCGATATCAGCTCCCTTCGTTACAACGCTACCACCTTCGTGGGTGGTGTGTGGATGTCAAGTCACGTATCGAGTGCGGTTCGTTCACGTTCGATGCAGTCACAGAAGCATCACACGTTCAAAACTTATGCGAACCGAGAACACATCTGGGGGATCGGCTCTATTCTCCATGTTAGAATCTAAACCGTCCAATTCGAAACTCCAAACCCGCACACCCGATCGTGCGCTTTAGAATTCCTCTTAGCACGCCCCTGGATCTACCCACATTTGCGACATTTTGATGGCAAGCAGCCCCACTTCCATGTCGAAGCGCGCGCTTGTGGCCCGATTTGGAATGCGCGACTCGATTTCACATCCCGAATCGCACGTCCTCTTTCTCTTTGCCCCTGCGCCCCTCCCTTAGAACAATCTTGATGGTCTTTCAAGTCCGACTCTCGCAACAATCACGAAAGCTCAATCCCCGGCGATTCCCCCACTTCCCCATTCCCCAACCAACGCCACCCCACACCACCCCACCTGCTCTGTTGGTAGTGCGCAGCAGCTCAGCAGCACCACAACCAACCCAAGCTGGCAGGTTGCAAGGGGATGAAAACCACAGCACAGCAGAGCACCCTTGCGGCAGCAGCGAAGGAAAGGGCTCTCTCTCTAGCATCGAGCAAACAGTGCGGGGCGGCTTCGTCATATCCGCGTCCCCTCCGCCCCGCCCTTGGCTCTCTCGTCGCGAACCCTCCTCCTCGCCTCACACACACCACCCATTAGGCCATGCCATGCCAGCCAACATGCAGACCGTTCATCATCACACTAGTCACCGCTACGAAACGCCCCCGCCAGCATCTGCGGCGTACGAGAACACTCGGTTAGGAGATCCCGGGGTTTGGAGAGTGACTGCTGGCGGCTAGAGGCAGGGAGGGTTTGTTTTATGCCGTGCAATGCATATGCGGGGGAGTAGTGGGAACTGGCGGTGACGTGACGGGACGGAAACAGAAAGCCCCCCTGAGCGCATGTAGAGTGAGAAGAAATGGCATGAAGTGATTCCAAGGTGCCGACTTTTAAAATTGACACGGGAGCGCTT